TGCACGTCTGCTCATTTGTTTACTGAGCTGCGCTCGAAGGGCTTGATAGGCAATGCGAAGAGCCACACAGCGGTTGATGGAGGTTGTCCCCGTGTGCCAAGCCTCGATTGTTTCCCTGGCTATGCGATCGTTTCCGCGGCCCAGAATTTCGATATGTCGATGATACCTTCGTTATCATTAAGCTGCAAATGGTCAAGGAATTCCATGATGTCCTGAACTCTGTTTTCTCTGACATCCAGTTCACAATGGAGGCGGAAGCAAACAATCAACTGCCGTTCCTGGACGTTCTCGTCCAACGAAAACCCAATGGGCACCTTAAAACGACGGTATATAGGAAGGCCACTAATACGCGCCAAATCCTGAGCTTCCACAGTAAGCACCCGTTAGGCCACAAAGGCAGTTGTGTGCGAACACTCTACAGAAGGGCAGAAACACACTGCACCGAGCCGGACGACAGAAGGTCAGAACTACGTTACCTCCAGCGCCTCTTCATGGCCAACGGGTATCCTCGCGACTTCATCGAACGCGGCAGATAGGTCGGACGAGCCAACGTTTGGTGACAGAACGACCAACAATATGGCGAGCGCTTCCATACATCGACGGCGTTTCTGAGGCCGTCTCGCGTCTCTTAAGACCGCTGGGGATCGGCATCGCCCACCGACCGGAGTCAACAATTCGACATCTGGTCATGAGACCTAAGGCCCCTCTACAACTAGGTGAACCCACGAACGTCATCTACCGGATCCGGTGTAACTCCTGCGAAGCCAACTACATTGGGGAGACCGGCAAACGGCTGCAGACCCGTGTTGCAGAACACATGAGGGCAGTAAGGCGAATGGACCCTTTATCTCTGGTGGCCGAACACTTCGCCGATGCCGGACACACGTTCGCCTTTCAGCATGCCAAAATTCTGGGCCGCAAAAACGATCGCATAGCCAGGGAATCAATCGAGGCTTGGCACACGGGGACAACCTCCATCAACCGCTGTGTGGCTCTTCGCATTGCCTATCAAGCCCTTCGAGCGCAGCTCAGTAAACAAATGAGCAGACGTGCACCCAGGCTAAATATGAAGCCAGACATGAGCGAGTCCATGGCGGATACACACTCGGCCACCCCTCAACCGGGTTCCGACGAAGGCGCAGTGCTCACCACAGCCGGTCCATCTACTAGTCCGGCGGACGAGAAAACGGACAGTTGTTGCGGCGTAAACAAGATTGCCAGGCTTGGACGACAGCTACGGTCAATGAAGGTACGAACGACGATCACCAACGTCTCAACACCGGCCTCCGATGTGGATTGAGTACATTCCGTAACCCCCTCACCCTCCCTCCCCCCCGCCCGCCACAATTCATTTGTGCATGCGGCTGATGACCACTAAAGCTGATCCACCACCCCCTCATCCGGCGAAAGGACGCTTTAGGACTCCCCCCGCCCCTCCCCCCCCTGCCGCCCTGACTTCATATGTAAGAAAACCCGTTTTGACATGACTGTCACCCACCTATAAATAATGTGAGGCGCGATACCACACTCACCTCCAACGATGCAAGCTTGTATGCTTTTGAAACGTCAGAAAGGTAACACTATCGTTCCCGAGATCGCCATTTCTTCTCAATTATGTCCGGGGACGCGCATCTTCGCTTCTTTTATATATGTGTACATATATATATCAATCATTAATGGGCGCACACCGATCTATTGGCTTCACAAAGCAAACAAGCGCCCTATGTGTAGCAAAGGTCTCGAACAGGCAACCAATTACCAGGCCGAAGTCGGCCAAGTCATAATAGCAGCGAGGAGGTACGACAGAGAATGCGGGTAGATTGATACAGCACTGTTTCGGGCTTATTCTGCCTTCATTCAGTCAATCATAACCCTGACCACCAGCAGCTGGATCCAGAAACACAACCATGCGCACAGACGCACCTGGCGCAGTGGGTCCACCACTGAGGCCTACCGGATGGGTCATTAACACTTCATCGAACCGAAGTTCATCAGTGACTCGCCACCGGTCATTCTCTGTCGCTGCAGATCGGGTATTTATCAATCAGGAATGGGCGCACACCAATCTATTGGCTTCACAAAGCAAACAAGCTCCGATCTGCAGCGACAGAGAATGACAGGTGGCGAGACACTGATGAACTTCGGTTCGATGAAGTGCTTGTGACCCATCTGGTAGGCCTCAGTGGTGGACCGACTGCGCCAGGTGCGTCTGTGCGCATGTTTGTGTTTCTGGTTCCAGTTGCTGGTGGTCAGGATTATGAGTGGCTGAATGAAGGCAGAATAAGCCCGAAACAGTGCTGTATCAATCTACCCGCCTTCTCTGTCGTCTCTCCTCGCAGATATATATATATATATATATATATATGTTTATAATAGCACGATCCTTATCTGGATACCTGACAAAAAGGCTAAGTAATTTCTTCTGATAACCAAATGGACTACCGAAAGTACCAGCTTTATCCAACACATAACGCGTTATCCCACATTATCCATGGGTTTTTTTTAAATATGCGCGGCGATTGACGGGATTCTGGGTCCCTAATTCTTCTTTGTTGCAAAACATTCAGCGCTTTGTAGGCATAAGTCCAGGAATATGCTTCTATATCAAAAGGCTGTCAGTTGGGAAATGCATTTTTGAAGATTTTCACATATTTATAAACGTTTTTAGTCGCGAATTCTAGAGTATGCTGAAGGAACAACCAGAATATCGCCGTTCACATTTACATCCTATGTGTTATAATTTTTACCAGTATAGAAAACAAATATTTTTGGCGCAGAGTGTACGATGCACGCAATAGGCATGTCAATATCTCGAGATAATGATTGCTAGTCTTGTTTGAGCAATGTAGCCACAGGTTTGACAACGATATATTGGCTGACATTTATGCATTAGGTGTTCCAAAATGTGGTATCTGGTATTCTTCATTTCACTTTAAGACGGTATTCAAACAATCGATTCTGAATAAAATTAAATATTCGCCTTTCGCATGAGAGTTTCGTAATTAAAATTTCATTTTGCTGTGATTTTTTATAAAAGATGTCTATTGGGCTAAGCAATTTCTGTTATGTTTGCCCAGATTCAAATTGACACCCATGTTGACAGATGGCAGCTACATGCTATAAACACTGCAATCGTTGTGCCTCCACTACCTTTATTTGCAGTCTTCTCTGATGGTGAGGTGGAGTGAGAATTCTAGACATCAGCCGTTATAATACTTGATCCAGTGATCGCATCTTACTTTTTATGCATTACAGTCTGCTCTAAGTCTTTAGAGCTCTGCTACAGAACGCATGCATGTCTATGTTCCATTAATACTCGGTCGATCGACTGGATAGTTCTGTTCAACATCTGACCGAGATCTTGAAATATACATTTGGTGGACTAACTGATAAAATGTCGACCGAAGTTAATAAAATCGTTTTGGCTTCGAAAAGATCAAATAAGTAGGATTGTAAACTAATCAGCCTGCAGTATAATTCTTTACTATTTCCTTTACCGCAGGATGCTGGCTTTCGAATGAACATCCATCTGGCCGCATACAAAAACAAAACTCTGCAAAAATGGCAAAATAAGTAGTATACATTTTTCTCATCGATTTTCGATGCCCGTAAAACTTAAATTATATTGCATGGAACAACTGCATAATAATATTCATTCATGCACTCATTTGACATAAAAGAAGGTCTTCTTCCAATTGCATATTCTATGGTGGGGAAAAATCCGTTTTTAAAAACTTTCTAATAGTAAACATTTTAATACCTTGAAATTGCCGTTCATAAAACGTCATGTTTCTGCATTTACCACTAAGACTTATAAAGTTAACAATATGAATTAAATCCACGGTACATTTTATGGAACCCATAAAGTCATCTCTTAATACCGTAGAGAAATGTGTGCTTTTGCGTACGCGGAAAATACATGGCTTGTAGTTTGGAAACCCTAAATGCAAGCGTGACGGCAGAGCGGTGTGACAATTAATCGGAAATCGAAAACGTTTTTGAAAATCGAATATTACCCTTCCTTCCGGAGTGGGATTGGAAGAAGACGTAATAATCTACCTAATGAGCAAAAGAATGAATAATTTTATGCACGTTTTCTATGAAATATAATTGAATTTTTTAGAACATCGAACATCAATGAGAAAAATGCATGCTACGTAAGAAGTCAGTTTTCACAGAGCATAGTTTTTACATGCAGTTGGCAGGATGTTCATGCGAAGGCCGGCATCCTTAGGTAAATGACTTGTTATAGGATTATACTGACGTTGCATGCATTAGTCCATCTTATGTATGTGTGGCGTTAGAATTTAGTTTTTAGTGTCTTACTAAACGCAAAATATACAATTGGTCTTTATAGCCAACCAACTGAAAACATTTCAAATTAAAAGGTAGTAAGTAATGTTTTCAGGTTGACCTAAAACTCAAATCAATTCTCCAGAAAGGCAAACGGCAAATACATTTAACAAAAGGTACAGGTCTCCCTATAATCAAAGAATGGAATGCTTTTACTAACCCCTACAAATGCACTTTTAGTTTATGTAAAATTACCGTAAATTCATCTATTGTGTTTTCATTCCCTTTGGATTTGCTTTTCATTTGTATAGAGACTGCGTATAGGCATTTGTGTTGACTTGTGAGTGATTAGAAATGATTCTCCAATTCTGACAGCTTCCAACTAATAGTAATATCCTTACCTGGTCAGATGTCTAAATATTCTTACCATTGGCTATTTTGCTGAATGGGCATTGTTGTGATCATAGATCTGCGCTTTGTTCAGTAGTACCTGAGCTTTCCTTCAGCAATTTTCAAGCACAGCAGGGAAGTGTTATTAACTGATTCTATTGCATCATTCTACGCACTTTTATGGTGCGGCATTTTCTGCTAGGTGGACTGGTGTTTAGAAACGTTTTTCGGCTCATTCACGATGCCGGTTTGACACAGCAAACCAGGAAATGTGATAGTAAATCCGACGTAATTAACATTGCATGTGTTGGGACGATCTTGACGCTGACAACACGGATATCTTTGATCGAGAAAAGGATCACCCATGACCACAGCTACTTGCAGACACACCAATGGCTGCGCAGCACAGGCGTTTTTGTGGTCTAAGATATAAGTGTCCAGAGCCAAAAGTAGGAATGTGCTTGTTACGAGCACATGCGGCGAGTCAATAGACGGCAATTATGTAAATACACTTGTGTGCAAATGCTAAATTCCAGTGGTTTTTAGAACACACTACTTAATTTCGCATATGACAGATTTCGAATTAACAGTTTGGTAAGATCCTATATTACCACTACTTTTTGTATCAGGTGCGAGTACACAGCGTTTCATATCTGCTTTAAGGGCTCTAAACAATGTCATGACTTAATCTTTATCGAATTCGCCAATAGGTTTATGGAATATTCTCAATGGAGGGCATGCAAATGCTTCATGTCTGACTAAAGATGTCATACGACAAGTTTAACCTTTCATCAGCGCGCGCGCCAAAAGCCACCACTTCTTTTGGGCCTAGCCTAGATATAAGTGGCGTCTTGTGGAAACGCAATCATCTGCCATCCATAATGATGTCCTCTGAACTGCTGATTTGTCTGTTCTGGTTACTCCATCCGAATTTGGCTTGCAAGAAGACTGTTCAAACATGTAGGTTTCGCATGACAGTACGTCGACATTAAACGCCACATTTTATTTTAAAACATGTTTTAAGCATGCCTGGTAGCTTATGTGAATGAGGACTAAAGAGTAATTTGTACGCACATTAAACAAATATTGTCATCTCTGACCATAAGACTGCATTAGACATAATGTGTTAAGGGAAACTATAAGCATATGCCGATTGCATATTCAATCATTGTACGTCGATTAGTATAATGCCAAAAAACTGATGGATATTAGCCAGTACGCACAATTGTGCTAAGCTTTATATTCGAGCTTAGCACGTATGTTGAACTACTGCAGGCAGACATTTTAACTGCAATGCATTCCCATATACCTCGTACTGGGAAACATGTTAATTTCATTTGATCCTCAGCATTAATTGGTTGTGGTCTAACATTACCAACCTCTAATGACGCCTCACCATCCTGCATGCAACAAATTTAAGTTTGAGGGTTTTTTTGCATTGTGCAACTGCCCAACCACTAATACCCCTAATAAATGTTCCACTGAATTTTCTTCTCATCATTAATCAAGCTTGGGCATTTTGTCCGCGTAAAGATGGGAACGCTTATCTGCCGGACCTACTAATGAATAGACTTCACATGAAAACTGAATTCTCTAAAAATCATCCATACATGGCAG